AAACGGGAAAGGCAACCACAATCCCCAGTGCAGAATTCTGTAGATGAGTATCAACCATCCTCGTGCATCCTCTTGGGGCCAACCGGGGAGGAAGAATCAGAGGAGGGAATGAATTCAGGCCATAGTATCGGGGTTATAACCTTCGATATAGTACGCCCGCCACAGGCAAAAATTTACAGTTATAGGCCGACAACCACATTTGCAGGACTCTTTGACTCCCTGCCTTGTTAAAAAAAGTTTTCCAGAGTTATACAATGAACACCACAAGCCGCGGGTGTGGTCCGGGTCCCAATTGGCTATCCATGGGCCTGGAATTTCCGATAACCGGTGGATAGCGTCGAAGCTACGAAGTCCCCACCAGAGGGCCAGCACGGCTGCGGTTAGCCTGCTAGGATACGGCCAAGTAGTTAGTCCAGTAGGTACGTGCCGAGGCGATGGCGTAGAAGCCATGAAGAACATTCTTTTCTTCTGTTTCCCCCATGTGTGCACACAAGGAACATGGTATCTCTTTGCAAGGTACGGAGCCCAAAGTTTGATCCAACGTTGTGCATTTCTTGGACAAGAAAACCTACTTTTTAAGTTCATGATTCCAGGATGCTCTTTGGGCAATTCACCCCTTTCTTTCTATGCGATAGAGTTCGGTTAACTCCGTGCACAAACAACAGGAGTATCTGTCGAACTTAGGTATTCATTAAGTACGCATTCTCTCTTTGTCTCTGTATGGTAAACGGGTACGCTCGGCATACAGTGGTGTAACAAAAGTATTTGACCTCGGGTACTTCGAGATCCACTTTCTGCCTGACCGCATGTTATAAATGTACACACACACACACAATTCATTAACGCCCGGCGGCTGAACCGAAAGGGCAACTATCACTGATCTAAATATACATGCTTTAGCTAATACTGTGCCTCCTTGGAGCCCATACCATATAAATGTACAGCGATTTTCGAAAACAGTTTACCACTCGGACACTCTTACTTTGTTTGTCGGCCCGTATCCGAAAACACTTAACCCTTTTTGGGACGCCTGGTAAGATATTGTCCAGTTATAGATCATTCTCATTTACGAACTAGCCGTGTTTGGCCTAGTGTCGTCCCGGGTACGGGCCGAGAAACGAAGTGTAGGTGTCTAAGGGGCAAGTCAGTCTCCAATATTATGGTGGTGGTGGGGCTTGATCGGGAGATAAACAGAATGTGCCTTCACCGATCATTGCTAGTAACTGTATTTTGAAGTCCGAGACTATGGATTTATTGAATTTTGACTAATTTCAGAGTCTAAATAGTCTGACCCGACTAATCTATAAAGTATTAGAGGTCATCCAAACATTGAGATTTTTCAAGTCGTAATTGAATGCTGTCACCAGTATTACTCTCTGTTCTTCCCCTTTACACCGTTTAAGAGGGCAAGTGCCCTCTGGAATGCCCTGAAACGAACGAAGTGAGAGTAAGGGGAAACGGATTGCACGTGACACGGATAGACCTCCGCAGAGCCCATAAAGCCCAAAGCCCAGCCCAACCCAACCCGCAAATGGGTTGGGTTTTGGGCCCGGTCCTTAGGCCCATCGATGGGCTATGGGCTTGTACCTCGAGCCCACTGTGCGTTAATGGGGGCCCAAATGGGCCCCAAACAATACAAACATGCCGAGAATTTGGATGCCAAGATAAGTTGAACCCCCTTTTTGGTATTAATTAAATTACTTCTGTTTTACGTCCGTTTCTTACCCTGATGCCTAAGGTAATATTTTATTAGATTTAATGATTTAGAATCAATTACTAGCATTCTCTCTATGTCACGTAAAAGAACACGAGAAAACGCGGTATTAAGAAATTTTCAAAATTACAGAGGTTCACCAGAAAGTGGTGGTGCTTCCCTATAAAACCTAGATATATATCCAACATCAAAACATCAACATTCACCTTTTGGGTTATATCTCGACCCCCACCGATCGGATTTTTGTTCAAAATCAGCATGCGTACTCATAGTATTCCCTTTATTTTAAAATTTAAAATTGAACTTCATACGATTGGTGGAAGGTCGTAATACAACGATTACAGAGTCCGCTTTGTCAGCGCTTGCATGGGTTTTTATGGGGGCCCACGGCCCAACCCACTGTGGGCTGTGGGTTGGGTTGGGCTTTGAAGGTTGAGCCCATAGCCCACCGTGGGTTGGGCCGTGGGCCTAGGGTCTGGGCCCATTTATGGGCTTTGCGGAGGTCTAGACACGGACTACATATTTTCGCGACTCAACACTTGCCGAAAGCCCTTACAAAATCATGGCGAAATTTGACCAACTATGCGAACGACGCCCTGAGAGGGTATCTTGACCTTTTTTTGCACGGCATATCTAGACGACATTTTGATCTACAGCAATTCATTGAAAGAACACAAGAGACACGTGAGACAGGTATTACAACGCCTGAAAGAGCATGGGTTACAGGCTGACATTGCAAAGTGTGAATTCCACGTACAGGAAGTGAAATATTTAGGCCTCATCGTGAGTACGGACGGCATCCAGATGGACCCGGCGAAGGTCTCTGCCATCAAAGAGTGGCCGACCCCACAAAACGTCAAGGACATCCAAAGTTTTCTTGGTTTTGCGAATTTCTACCGAAGGTTCATCAAAGGCTTTGCCGCAAAAGCCAGCCCTCTCACCAGATTGACCAAGAAAGATACCCCATTCACATGGGACGAGAAACGCCAGACTGCGTTCGAAGATCTCAAGGAAGCGTTCACCTCAGCACCAATTCTACGACATTTTGACCCAGACAAGCCTAGCACTATCGAGTGCGATTCATCGGATTACGTCAATGCAGGCTGCTTGTCACAGCCTGATTCGGATGGGACCCTGCACCCAGTCGCATACTTTTCCCGCAAGTTGTCACCGGCGGAATGCAACTATGACATCTACGACAAAGAACTCATGGCTGTTGTACAGTCTTTTGAAGAATGGCGAGCCGAGCTGGAAGGTGCAGACACTCCTGTAAAAGTGATCAGTGACCACAAGAACCTCCAACATTTCATGACAACCAAGCGCCTCAGCCGGCGACAAGCGCGATGGAGCGAGTTTCTCCCACGGTTCGACTTCAAACTCGTCTATCGTCCAGGAGCACAGGGTGGAAAACCAGAGAGGGTGTGTGGCGTAAACAGTAGTGCGTCACTGGTTAGGTCTTACGCGAAAATGCTAGCTGGGGTCCTAGCACGGAACGTAGGGACTGCGGGTTCGAATCCTGTCACTTTCACAACTTTTACCCTAGAGGCACCTACCGAAGAAAGCCTACGCCTTGGTTGACTTGGCTAGGACCTGGATGGTAGACCTGGGGTAGGGGTAGCTACTGCGGTACGCAACAAAAGGCGGGTGGGGAAAACTGTCACCGGTCTAGCCTTTCAGCTTACCTTCCGAAGTACTAGCTGTTTAACTCGGGCCGCTAGGAAAGAAGGATGTCCCCTCTGTGGTAGCTAGATTGAGAAAAGGTGTAACAGTTCTGCAAAGCTCAACAAAGTACGATCTGAGTTCCGGGGGCGCCCTGGATTGCATTGAACAAAAATACAACATACTGAACAATTGGTCACTCGGTCGCTTTAAGCACTAGGATAGACCGTCCGGTCATTTCTATTGGGAATTAGGCGTTAAGGAAGGTTCCTTGTGGTGCCAGTCCGGGTGCACCGACCTACATAGCTTACCGCACGCTTAGGCAGGCTCCATTAGTATAAGAAATATCATCATCATCGTCAGGGTGGGAAACCAGATGCTTTGACCAGACGGTCGTCAGATATGCCACAAACGGATGACGACGAGAGGCTACGACATCAAGACCAGACAGTGATCAAGCCACACAACATCTCACCCGGAAAGCATCCGCTTGCCTTGAAGCAGAATACGTTACACGAAAATCAAGATGATACGCAGCAACCCCTCGATGAGTTGATCACCGCTGCTTATACGAAGGACCCAATATCAGCAAAGATACGAGAGGCTATGGACACGTACGACCGCCAGCTACCGACAGAGCTGACTCGACTCAAGGTCCCCATCAACGAGATGGTAGAAAAAGATGGAAGACTATTTGTGAAAGACCGAAAGTTTGTGCCGGACGACGATGAACTACGCCTCCGTCTCCTACGATCGTGCCATGACATGCTGCCGCGGGGCATCCTGGAAGTGCCAAAACCTACGAACTGCTCTCACGAAATTACTATTGGCCAAAGATGGGCCAAACCGTGAAACGATATGTACGCAATTGCCACACCTGCTCGCGATCCAAAGCGTCACGACTGCCCTACCAGGGGCTTTTGCAACCTCTGGGCACGCCGCGGACGAGGTGGGAAGACATAGCAGTAGACTTCATTGTCGAGCTACCAAGAAGCAAAAAATGAAACGACAGGCCAGTTCTGCAAGAACATCATGGTCGTGACCGATCGACTTTCGAAACAACGACACTTCATTGCGTGTGGATCCACGAATGCAAAGCACACGGCACGGTTGTTCTTGCACCACGTATGGAAGCACCATGGACTACCAACGACAATTGTATCAGACTGAGGGACACAGTTCACCTCCCGTCTTTGGCAGCGGGTTTACAAGCGATTAGGGATTTTGACCAGGCTCTCTACTGTTGAAATACAGGATGTACAACCCAAGACGGCATGAATTTGACCTATCCTAGTGAGGTGGTTTAAGTCTGATCTCTTTCTCATTGAGAAAGAGACCCTATTTAAATGACAGAATTTGACCCGAACTATACTCTTCACGGAAGGATGTACGCTGACTGATTCATGCCTGATATATCTGGTATACACCATCTATTCATGCAGGAATCTCAACATCTACTGCCTACAGCCCAGAATCAGACGGCCAATCTGAGAACTCTAGCCAAGGGCTAGAGCAGTACCTCCGGGCTTACGTCAACTCTTCGCAGGACGATTGGGTCGACTGGTTACCTCTTGCCGAATTTTGCAATCAACAATCACCAGTCGGCGACAACCGGTGTGACACCATTCTACGCCGTATACGGACAACACCCGAGAATGGGACATGAACCGCCCCAAGGAACACGAAAACTTCCCGCGAAGCAACAGATTGATATCGAGACCGCAGACGCCTTCGCGAACGAAATGGCAAGACTCACGGCGACGTGAGCATTTGCTAGCGCCTTGTTGTGTAGATCCTCCGCGAATGGTACCTTCTGAAGATAGAAGCCGTTGATTTTCAAGAACATATCGGCGGCCAGTAAGGCGGTGCGTTTGTTCCCGTCTTGAAAGGCATGGTTTAGCATTATTTTCTCAGCAAGGTTCGCAGCAAGCTGGAAAACATCTTCCTCCTTTGCGTAGTGTTTCATGTTCATCGGCGAATGGATTGCAGACTCCAGCATGTTTGGTTGGACTGGAACAGCATTGGGGACGACAAATCTCGCATGAAGTCGCTGAACTTGGGAGACTGTTAGAAATCGAAGCATCTTTGTAGCCATTCGAAAGAAAACAGATGTGGCAAGAAAAGGAGTTGTATGATAAAATCGATTTGTAATTTTCAATAAGCAACCTTCTGTTGAACTCTCAGAAAGATCGAAAAGAAAAATACAGTAAGGGAGCAATATATTCGACTGGCTCCCGACTTCAAGGAAAGTAAGAACGAGTATTTCTAATACTTTCAGTTGCTCTGCTACACAAGGCTGTTGGGTTTGCAGCAACAGGCAACTCGTCCAGGCGCCTCCCGGGCGCTAACATTGCACTCCGTATTGGTTCGCTAACACTGCTCGATGTAGCGAGGTCCCTGCATTAGAATGTCGTAGTCCAGTGGAGAGGCGTACTCTTCCCCTGGGGCGAAAGCTGATCTCAGGAATCCGTGTGCACGGCCACGCTTGCGGATGCGCACGAGCGCAAACGGGAGAGATAACGCAGTGATCGATAACGTGGCTTGCAGATGTTGAAACTAAATCTGGGAAGGACTAGCGGCTACACACAAGCCACACAAACACCTCATTTGGCGTGGAGGCCCATGTATCTAGCGAAGTCACAAGTATCGCAAATAACAATTTAACGCTTAGAGAGCTTATTGGTCTTAATCTGAAACATCTATCGCACTCATGCACGCTTTTTGATCCACTTTAAATGGACGGCCATTTGGCCCTACAAGTTCTTTTGCTCCTAGAGCCATTGGTGCGGTTTCTGGGAGCAAAGAAGCTGCTTGTGAGGGTCTCACGTATACATAGAGGTGGATAGTGTTTCAATATTAACAATCAATATTAAGAACAACTATAGTTGACTCTAGATACAAGACGTAGCCCGAGGAAGCAAAAGAAAGTCGCGTTCAGGGGAACCCATGTACACCATGTGGGTCCCGTGCGGATCATATCTCCATCCGTTCCGCATGCTTCATCTATATCCTTGACATTACCGTCTTACTTCGGAGCAACGAGCGTCCCTTCGCGAACATCCAGAATAGAGGCCACTCGGCGAATGAGGGAGCAAGCCGAAGAGTGCTCCATAAGGTTGTGGATTCTGCATGTGGTAACACTCAAGGAGAGATTCCGGCCAATAGCTAGCCGAAACATGGAAATCATCAACGTCAAGGTGTGGGCTCTAAAGAGGATGATCCTGAGTATTTGGATATTGATCTGATTAGCGATAACGAGGAAGAGGATTTTGATAGGGAAAAGAACGAGGCCGACGGCGATAATCGGGATCTCCAGCAGGACGATGACCATCTACTTCCCCCGCTGGAGGAGGAGAATACGCAGATACGTGCGTCAGTGCGAGCCAGGAAACGCCAACGAAAAGATAATGATCAGTATCCGTACCATTAGATCTAACATAGTTCTGCAGAATTCAACATACCAGAGGAAAATTAATCATGATCTCCGGCTAAAATGACTGTTTTAGTGGGAACCAATGTAAAAAGAATACTCAAAATTACTGCACAGAACCGTACAAGTAGCCATAGCTCACAAGGTCGCACTCGGCACCACTATCGAGGTCTGCGTGAGTGTCGAGGTTGTTTCGTACAGTAATCGGGATATGAAAGCGGGTTCTGGTCTCCACTGTAGGGTGTTGAGACGAGGGCGTGGAGTCTACTTCGTCTCCCCAGAGTTTCCCTGAGTGGCAGACTGGATTGGAGGGGAATTAGTTTTGTCCTTCTTAGGTTCCGGGCATTTAGTAGTGTCGCTCACTTCCGCAGTTGAAGCATACTTTGCGTTTCCCGTCCTCTCCGATAGGGTTCAGGTTGTCTTTCGAGGAGGAATCCTTGTCCTTAGACCGCGAGCCTCCGTGGTCCTTGGAGTTTTTGGACTGCTTCCTGGGTGACGCTAGCCATGGCGAATTGGCAGGTAGGCAGGTAGGCAATATTATGGTGAAACGCGCTCAAAAGGCCACGCGTTATGACTTAACAGCTAGTGGAGCGCTTGTTGAGATATTGGCTCAGCAAGCCTGAGGCATCAACATCTCTGAATTCATGTGCAACGACCATATAGGGCTTATTGGATGCTTTCTACCATGGAACTCTTGTAGCTCCATCGCACTCTCGCTTATTGTATTTTTACTACTACAAATAGCTGTAGAAGTACCTCTTCAGGGAGTTAGAATTAAAACACCTCATTTCAATGACAAAACTTCTTGCCAAGAGAACCTCGATAGTCAGATATTTCAACAGCGCTAACATCCAATTATATACTAGTGGATCTTAGTCTCGTGGTGGATTGGATGATATAATACACTAATGATACCGCGCTAATTGTGCTTTCCGGGGACGGACGAGGGGATAATATATATTAGCCCGTTCACCACCCATGTTCTCTTCGTGAATATACCAATTCACTCTACATCCTCCCCTCTTTTCATTGCGACATAATTTATCATGAAGTTAACTTTTGTGATTGCTGGCTTTCTTAGCCTTATTACCTTTGCGAACGCAACTCCTTGCTCCGACGCCGAGATTTACCATCACTTCAACCGCGCCTATTGTGTCAATGGCGGCGAATGCTGTTTTGATGCTGGCGGATGCAATGAATCAGGCACTATCTACTCCTACGGATCCTGTCCTGTAAGTTTTACTAATACAACGTAGTAAGACCTGTCAAATGACTGACCTTTCATAGGACGGTGTAGTCTGCCAGGTTTGTCTTATACCAGGATAGCCTTCTCACGTCTTATTAACCTATTAAATAGTGTCCCCCTCTTTGATTATTTAACGTCGCATGGGGGCGTAATCTCCTTCACTAAATCTGCGATCATGTGATGTACTTTAGATTAGTCACCAACGCAACCTTTCCCGTTTTGGTTTCTGTTTACACACGCAATATTTCATGACTAACTAGTTACACTATTGTTGTTGTCATCCTCCTCCACCATGGACCCTCAAGAAAGTGCTGTAAACAAAGTCTTTTGCAGCAAATGCGCAAAATTCTATGCTGCAGATGAATTTGAAGCCACCAAGAAAGGGAAACGGAACAAAACTTGCAGGCGTCATAGCCAGAAACGTTCTCTGGAGTTTGACGATTGGGGCAATTTTGCTCAGCTTCTTCACAATTGGAAAACACGGGCAAGGAAAACCAGAACCAAGGACCGAGAAGTCCGGGTTTATTGACGCGATACTAACCCGTTTGCCTCAGAACCACCCCCGGTATTGAACGGGAATTACCTGTTCGATTTAGATACTCTGCCAGTCCAGTTTGGCTCTGTACGTGTCACAGAAACTGTAGGAGGGAGTGAACACGATGTCGACCGTGGCACATATCCTAGATCCGAGATGAACGGGGCTATGCGCGATCTCACGGACTTGATTTGGAAACGAGGGGGATTCCGGTTCACCCACATGGGAACGAATTTCCAAAGTTGCACATACCAGTACCACTGCTCTCAGGATCTGATGCGTGCTAAAAGCTATCGACCTATGGTAGAGGTCGGGAAGCAGCGGGATGGCCGCCGTATGACGCGATTTCCATGCCAAAGCAAGCTCACTATACGGCCATGCTTACAAAATCGAACCATGTCCCTTTCGATCCATCACCAATGGCATGCACCTTATGAGGACATCGAACTTTCACCAGTCGTGCAAGTCCTTATCAATTCACTTGTATCGACCAAAACTCCATCCGAAATATACCGCGAGATTCGACAGATTCCGGAAGGAAAACCAGTGACTAGACATCAAGTCTACTATCTCTGGCAGAAAGCGAACGCGGAAATCTGGCAGCGAGACCTAGACCCCTTCATTTCGGCTACCATGCTTCTTTCTGAAAACAGTCACTATCGCGATCACCACGATATCTTCACGGCAGGAAACCTGAGGGCATTGGGGTTTTTCGCGTCCGAACCTATCCAGAAGCTTCGCAATACAGCCCCACAATTGGTGATGGACTCGACATTTGGAACTAACAGTGGCGGGATGGATCTATTCGCGGTATTAGCTGAAGTTGAAGGTACTGATGTTCCGCTTGCATATTGTCTGGTCGAGCTGCTAAAGCCCCCGCAGGCCAATTTAGCCGAGGGGAAACCCGTCCGTGCGGATCCTGGGGTGATGACATACATTATTCAACAATTTCTGGAGCGACTGAAAATTTTCGGATTCAATCCGAGATGCGTCGCGCTTGATAAGGATCCTTCCGAACTTGCAGCGGTCACCACCGTATGGCCTGGGGTCAAAGTTCAGCTTTGCTACTGGCATGTCAAGCGGGCCGTAGGTACGAAACTCAATTCGTCCAAAAGCACCAACACCCAAAATCATTACCGGCCCGAGGAGGCTCAAAAGCTGATTCCAGACTTGGAGATCTGCTGGGGTTCGCTACCGGTCCGCCGACCGGTGAGCCATAGATTTGGCGATTGCTCATGCCCGTCAAAGGGTGAGAAAATCAGTGAAATGGGGAGACTTGAGCCCGCCACGAAGGAGGACCGTGACACGGTTCTGGAGATTTTCTGCCGACATTTTAACCTCCATCCTCTTATCCCTGATTCTAACGGCACTTACAAGTGCTCGACAACTTTGCATCGTGAATGTGCGGCAGAGATACATACCTGGTGTAAGGCCCGAGGGTATTACCGGCTTTGGGCTTATCTGTATGTCAACTGGTACTGCCCTAACCAGTGGAAGTTGTGGGCACGGGCTGCTGACTCTACTGAGATCCCGGTGGTGAAGACAACAATGATCGTGGAGTCGCATTGGCGAACACTGAAGCACGACTATCTTCATCGATTCAATCGGCCGCGAGTTGACCTGGTGGTGTGGGTCTTGGCATCGCGAGTTCTCCCAGATGCTATCCATCGAATGAAAGCTATTTCCAGTGGGCAGTTCCGCATATTCAAAGCTCGATGGAGAGAGGCATTTAAGAAGCAGTGGCGAAGAGAGGCCTCTAAAACCGTCGACCCCGACAAGTTGAAGGAATACCACACAAGTCCGGTCAACTGGGTTTGTTCATGCAAATCCTTCCTGCACAGTCGCTTCCTTATCTGCAAACACATTGTTCAT